AAAAAAAAAAAAAAAAAAAAAAAAAAAAAAAAAAACACATCATAGTAAAATTAATACCTTCTCCGCTTCGCATCGAAGCTAAAATAAATAAAATTTGCACTTTATAAGGAATATAGGATGGACTTAAAAAGTACCTAATATTCAAAAAATATATATTATTTAAAAAAGTTAGAAAAAAAAATCTTAATATTGTTATATTTTAAAAAGAAATCGATTGATTAATGTCGTAATATACTCGTCACTACTAAAAAATGGGATATTTATACATTATATTCTTAGAAGGACTTAATCTTTTTCAAACAAAAATAATTTAATTAATACATTTAATACATTAATACATTTAACAAACACACACTGTTAAGTTATATTATAATACACACAATTCTATCATAAATTGATTAATAGTCACTTTTAAAAATCGTTCCTTTTGAAAAGAAATCTATAAATTATTTTTGTCATCTAATTTATTTTAATTTTAATAATTGTATTGATCCTATTTGTAAAAAAACAACGTTAATGTTGTATATAAAATAAGTAAAAAATAACTTTTTCTTCCCACACAAAGTCACTATGAAGTAACAGACAGGTAGCAAATGAAATCTAAATATTGTCCTTATCAAAGTTGAACGACGACATGCGTAGGTATGACTAACGCCAGACTCCCATGAACTTGTTGCTTTATTCTTTAACGCACGTTTTAAGCTAGTGGTCTATAAGCTATTCGCTTTTTCTCTGTGTGTTAATATCTATTTTTAAAAATTTTAATTAAATTATGGAGTACTCAAATTTTAAACATGTAGATGGTAAAATTTACTCTTAATTCTTATTAAACCTTGTCAACTATTCATCCTAATAAAGGTCACTCTTTCAAATTTACAAGTACAACATTTGATATATATATTTATAAAGGCTATAAGCATACAGAGCATATATAAAATGTTGGAAGACGTATGTAAATTTAAAACCTCCGAACAAATCTTGTTCAAATTACACTAATTTAACGTAGATACTCCAGGATCTTATGCCTTTAAAGCAAAGTGTATGATCTGATAAAAAATGTGGAGTACAAATTAAATGTGTGATGATTAATAAATCAGTACGCACTTAGTTAAAGTTAGCGTAATTAATGATCTTCGATTAAAACTATGTTATACGACAAATGAAAAACCAAAAAAGTACTTGTTATTTGGTAAATCGGGAAAAATATAAAACAGAATTTGAAAAAAAATCATTTATATTTAACATGTAACTAGTAGCTAATGTTAAATGAATCCTCCTGTATTTAATCCTGTGTACTGATTGTCAAAAATTTTAGTATTAACTAGTTCGTCATTAAACATTGTCTATAATATACATAGCGAGTCTTAAAAAAAATATTTTTTACGTTGGGAGATATATAAGAGTATTTTTCTACGACCTGATGGATTAAGTCGATTAAATAATCTTGCCGAAAATAAACAATATAATAGTAACTAAGGTATTTTAATTAGAGTTATATAATATACAATACAATTTTATACAATATAATATATCGTGTAAAACGTATAAATGGTATAAAAGCACTGTTTAAAAAATAGAAAAATCGAAGATACTTATTAACTTTTTAGTATTTAATTATTGAATACAATATTAAATAGCCCTAGTTTTAAGTTTACTACCAAATTTTGTAGAATAGTTTTATTTCTTACAATTTCTTTGCACTTGAGCAAAATACCAACATTTTCTTAAATGATTTTGAATCCATACAGAAATCTTAATACGTTACTAGTATTGATATATTTATTAAAATGTTATAAGGGTAATATATTTGTTTTTTTTAGATCCTGTAAGTGTTCAAAATGTTTAAACCTTCAATTACCATTATAACATTAAGTTAGTATACACATTTTATCATTTTTGAATAAGGACTCGGTTGTTAATACTATTTTTTAACAGTGGCGGCTCGTGGGTCTCGGAAGTGGTGAGGCAAACTTTTAATTTAGTAAATTTGAATAAATAACATACCTATTTTTAAGATTATAGGTACACGTAGATAATAGCTGTATTAATCGGTAACATGTTAATTCTTTAAATTTTTTATAAATTATAGGATGAAAAATTATAATCGTTAAATACTTTTATACATTGACTGATAACTGATGTGATAAACGTAATTCGTTTGTTGTTTTTGTGGGGTAAGCATAGATTAGGAACAATAACGACATAATGTCGATTCCATTTAATTTATATGTAAAATGTCGTTTCGCATTTGAAACCACCTGGCACACGATGGCGTTCACCGCTGAGGAAAATTTACATCAGCCTCATTTTACCAAGTATTCACGACTCTCCCCCACCAATCAATCTTAATAATCCAGTGTAGCAACTGAATCGAAAAACAGTTTACCTCTCGGACCTCATCGGTTTGCTTCGTAATAGGTAGTGTAACGTGTTGTCATTAACACGCTTATATTAGTTTCACGTGTATGTTGTTTGTCGTTTGTTGTTTGTCGTTTGTAAGTTTGTAACTCCACGCGGCACGTGTTATTATATCGCGTATCCCGTCGTGTATGACCTTGAGACTATACTGTTGTAACGCATTCGCCCCACCCCGCTCACCACTCGTAGACAACAATATTTTCTAACCCGTAGACACGCGCGCTTATCATCAATTATATATATATATATATATATATATAACAAATTTTTATTGTAATTGACACAGCCCCGCGTCGTTTCGTTATACACAATGCCCCACGACTCGTGCCACCTTTATCAGCCGTTGCCCTAATATGAGTATTTGACTGACCAACACCTCGCGTTATACGCCGCGGTGCAAAGTCTAGCAAGCGCCGCACGGCCGACGACGTCCCGCCGTTAATGATACCGTAGTCTTCTTCTCGTTGTCAAAGTGACGTCAACAAACCGATCCGCACTCGCGCACTGTTGTCATCTACACCAGAGTTTCTCAAAGTAGGGTCCGCGGACCCCCAGGGGTCCGCGAGCACATATCAGGGTTAGGTCTTTAAAACTGTAGGTCTTTAGATGGGGGTCAGTGATTCATTTGACTTTGAGAACCTCTGTTTTAGACTACGCTTCGTCTAGCTAAGATCCTACCGACCTCACGAGACTTCGGCGCATAAGCCTCTTTGGGCCATCCTCGTAAGTAGGCTACTGATTCCGATAGGAGTACTGATAGTAAATACGCCGGGCTCGATAAATGTTTTGCAGGTTAATATATTAACTAAACAAATATAATAAACATATTTCTATATACGCCTCTATGAATACAATACGGTTATTAGTTTGTCAGGAAACAAAATAATAGGTCGGATAAATAATTTATAAAAAATCTTCAGACCGAAATGATTTTATATATTTACATTTAAAAAATATATTTTATACTAAAGTACCAATTTTAAAAATCTTAAATACCATTGGCTACATTCCAAAGGTATATTAATTAGGGTACCTTTAAATATTCCTACATTTTTATTTTTAAGTTAATAAATATGATCTCATAGTCCTTAACATATAATGTTAAAAGTCATTTAAAAAAAATTAAAAATAATAATTTCCAAGTTCAATTATTTTTACAATAATCAATAATTAATATAAATAATTATTTTCAAAAATTATTATTGTAACTAAAGTTGAAGAAATTTCAATAATAAGACTTCCGCTTAAAATATTTTAAGATGATTAATAGAAATCTGTACTTTAAAAGATAAGTTTTTGTAAAAAATCCTTTCTTCAGATAAATTATTTCTCTGATTTATAATTATTTCTTTAATTAATCAAAGACTGAACAACCGTCGGCTATGACGTTTAAATAATTTATTTATAGTTGACGTAGTATAAAATTATAACACCGTCTATTTATACTCTATAAAATCACTAAAATGTTTATTAAATACCTCATTTCATTTGTTATATATAAGCAGTAAAAGCATAGGCCCTCCAGTAACCCGGCCATACATTATTTTGGTGACCTGTAAAGAAAAATGTATAATCTTTTTTTATTGACAAGCAAAAAAAAAATAATAAAACAACATTTTTCTTGCTATGGTTGTTATACTCGTCGATCATATTATACATGATATTATGTAGCCGACACTATCTATTATTATATTATAAATGTACATAAATTGATTTAAATTAATTACTCTAATACATTTATATTTTCATTAGCCTAAAACTAAACTATTGTTAGAGCATATATATATATATATACAGGGTGGCCCACCACTCACTGACAACTTAAATAACTTTTGATCCAGTTAATATTTTTAGTTGATTTTTTTTTTAAATAATATTTATACGTTAGGTCTATAGCTATATTTCAATAATTAATTTTTTTACATTTTATTAAAAATATTAATTATTTTAAAATTTTAAATAAAATGTAAAAAAAAAATCTAAGATAGCTATTTTGTAGAGTAGAATTTAAGAAAAATTTTAGTAAAAAAATATCTTATTAATATTCAGTAGTAAATATTCTGTAGCGTTTTGAAGTTTGTAAAAATTTGAATTTTCAT